GCTCCCCCCCACCCCATCCCCCACAGGGCCGGCGAAATAGGCAGCTTCCAGGACCTTTTCTGAACGTTTCCCGGCTCAGAAAAGGTCCTGGAAGCTCCCGATTTTGCCCCCGCTTGCCCCGTGGGGGGTGGGGGGAGCGTTGGAAGGGTCCTGGAAGGCTCACTGGGACCCTTCCGACGCTCCCTCCCCCACAGGGCTGGGGGGGCAAAACCACCACCTTCGCTCCATAAGACGCACAGGCTTTCTACCCCACTTTTTGGGGGAGAAAAAGTGCGTCTTATAGAGCAAAAAAATACGGTATATTTTTCAGAGCTTTGTTTTGTTCATTATCAGAACAATGGATTGCTGATTAAGGGAAATTATTTTCTCCTTTTAGCAGTACAATATGATGGCTGTTCATCACTACGTTTATGTTTTGTGCATACAAAAAGGCTATGTATGCATGCTTAATTCATGAATAGATAGTGTTTGTGTCTGCTTCCTCTACAGGCATAGTATTTCCAAGAATCTTGCTACAGGTTGGATCTTGGATCTGTATTAATTACTACAGCCTTAATTTTATGACAAACTCAGTAAGAAATGTCATAACACTTTTCCTGTTTTCCCTCATTATTTTTCCCTTCAGAGGTCATGTATAGTTTTAAAGTAGTTAGTAAACACAGAAGTTCTCAAAAAGTTGCTCTCATTTTTCGGTAATTCAAGAAATATTATTGTTTCACATAAAAATCTGTTTTCTGCCTTTGGTGTATTTGGTGATCAATCATTTGCACTGCCCTCCCCCCATGCTGTATTCTGCATTCTTGTACAGTGGTGCCTCGCAAAACGAATTTAATTTGTTCCACGGTTAATGTCTTGTGAAAATTCATCTTGCGAAATGCGTTTTCTCATAGGAATGCATTGAAATCTAATTAATGTGTTCCTATGGGCAAAAAAGTCAGAACAAAGTCAAATTTGGTTTACAAAGGGTTTATTAAGTGCTCATTAAAACTATACCTATTGTGCAGATTATTTAAAAAATTTAATAAAAAAACTTTAACTTTTTAAACATCATAGAAAAACATTTAAAAATCAGCAAACATGAGGCAGGAACAAAAATGGAAAACATTCATCTTGCGAAGCACGGCCATAGGGACATTTGTCTTGCGAGTCATCAGCCCCCCCCCCTTGCCAAAAACTATTTGTCTTGCGAGTTTTTTGTCCTGTGGGGCATTTGTCTTGCGAGGCACCACTATAATAAGTTCTTGAAATGCTTACACGAATATATAGGGAAATCATATGTTTCTTCAACTATAGGTTTTAGAAGAAGAAACCTGAGGTACTATGGAGAAAGGTGATGAATAGTGAAGGGTTATTTCAGTACTATCAGGAAACATCTCATGGCATGTAGTAGTTAAGACTTTGTTCACCTACAGCATTTGTTCTTTTGTGTAGCTGATATGGATCCCAAAGTTACAGTCTATTTTTGTTGTAAATACTGTTTGTCTGACCTCTTCTAAAAAAACCTTCTTTCTTGTGCCAGAGAACTATTGCCTCAGAAAGGCCTCCCTATAATCATGGACCCTGAACTGAATTTATAAGCTTGATTTCATAAAATAAGCTGAAAGTAATGCAGCAATGAGAATGGATGCCAGTGTTAGTTGAAGTTTCACATAAAAATAGCTGAGATTTTGGCAAATAATTTGGTGATTCTGTTAAAATCTTGTCAAGTTGTAACAATTGACTATGAGCATGTTGAGAGTGGAAGGTAAGGGATTACCTCCCAGTCATAACCCTCACAAGCTGTAACCTTCATCTGGGCTTTCACAAGGGCTAGTTTCAGTGTATTGTGCAGTGAAAGGCTTCTGGAAGTGCAGGATTGACTGGCTGCACACCATTGCTCAGGATATCTGCAGTGCTTTTCCACTCTTTTGAGAGGCTACTTTTATGTTTTGATACTCAAAAAGCTTTAGTTCCTTACTAAAGATCATGGATTAACAGAAATGGTCACTGTTCTACTTCAAAACCAAAGGTTCTTTGCTGAATGTCAAGGGAGGCACAGTCAGTAGAGAAATCAAAGGAACAGTCTTCTACAGGGTAGTGTCCTGGCACTGTTACTTTTTAGCATGTACACAAATGATCAACCAGTGTTTTCACACTCTAGGTATTTCATCTCTGCTGATGAAATTGCCTTGGCTGTTCAGGGGATAACCTTTGAGGCCATCAAGCACCAACTAACCTCTGTTTTAGATCTTTTCTTGTAAGTGGCCACTCTTATTAATATATCACTATAGGAAGGATATATGCCTTCCTATCTAAAGTAGACCATAATAAGGCCCATCCTTAAGAAATCCAACTTGGCAGTGAATGATTTAAATAGGTATAGACCAGTCACAAAAATTCCAATCTGGGCATGTTAATTGAGAGGCTGATCAATTGCAAGTGTTCTTGAAGGAGACTGATAGTCTTGATCCATTTCAGTCAGGATTCAGGCCATGTCATGGTTCTAAAATAACATTGAATGCTCTGCACAACGACCTCCTTAGGGAGGCACAAAAGGGGAGTGTAACTTTGTTGGTGCTCCTGGATCTTTCTGTGGCCTTTGATACTGCCAATCATGGTATCCTCCTTGGAAAACTATCAAGTTTGAGGATCAAGGGTATGGCACTGCAACAGTTCCAAGCCTTCGTTGATGGCCAGTCTCAGATAATAACAGCTTGGGGATCCTGCAGCCTCCATTATGGTGTTCCACAGAGGCCGATTATCTCCCCAATGCTTTTTAACATCTATATGAAGCTGTTAAAAAATGTTATTTGGAGCCTTGGGTTTTTTGCCACTGGTGTGCTGATGACATGCAGCTCTGTCTCTCCTTTTAGGAGTCTCTCCCAGCACTTCCATGTAGATGTTAAATAGTATAGGGCAGTGGTCCTGAACCTTTTCCAAATTGCAAACCAGTTGGGGGTGGCGGGGTCTGTGTGCTGTTGAGTGGGGCATGCTCACAGGTGGGTGGGGTGCACACTTGCGCATGCATGGGTGGGCAGGGTGTGCTCGCGTGGATGGGTGGGGTGTGCTTGCGGGTGGGCTGGTCATGCATGTGTGGGCAGGTGGGGTACGTTCGCAGGTGGGCATGTGGGGGAGAATGCGTGGGGGGGAGATCTGTCTCCACGGCCCGATCCTGCCAAGTCCACAGTCTGGGGGTTGGCAACCCCTGGTATAGGGGACAAAACAGAACCCTGAAGGACACCACAGGCCAACAGCCAGAGTGTCAAACAGGAGTTCTCCAACACCGCCCTCTGAATTCTTCTATCCAGGAAGGACCAGAGCCACTGTAAAACAGCGCTGCTGAGTCCCATCCAAAAGAAATAGCCCAGAAGGATACCATAATGGTGTCAAAAACAGTTGAGAGGTCCAGCAGAACCTACAGAGCTACACTCCCCATGTCTTATTCTTGGTATAAGTCATCCACCAAAGTGACCAAAGTGGTCTCCATCACATAGCCAGGTCTGAAGCCAGATTGGAATGGATCTAGAAGATCATCTGTTTCATCCAGGAGCCTTTGGAGCTGAGAAGCCATGGTCTCCTCTAGCACCTTGCCCAAGAATGGAATATTAGAGACTAATATGGTAGTTTTCTGGTGAGATCCAAGGAGGCTTTTTCAACAATGGTCTTACTACTACATTTTTGCAAGCATGCAGGGATCCTAACCTGCTGCAAGGATGCATTCACTATTCTACCCACTCTCCCAGTTCTTCTCAGGCAGCTTTTATAAGCTTTTTCTCCTTTCTGTTGCATAAAATCATTTGTGTGGTTTTTTGTTTTGTTTCATTTTTTGTTCATTAGCTTTTCAGATTTTTTGTGTTAGCCCTTAAGCAAGGACTATGTTCCAAATACATTTATGCCGTTTAGTGAAAGACAGTTCTTTACGTCTCTCCATTTTCAAGCCAACTGTTACCTTTCTGCTACAAGTAGAAAGTTTAATAAATTTTTGTGTGACAGATTTGTATTCTCACCTGTAAATAAATTAAGCAGAGCTGACAGTGGATCAAAATAGAGTTGTTGACTTGCAATATTATGCATGTATCAAGGACCAAAAATTAGCTGCCAAGAGACATAATGACCACATATGTTATGTTTACCATAACCTGTCCAACAGAAATGATCTTTAGAGATACATGCCGGTTTAACTGGTGTTACATACCTAGATTTAAAGGGTTTTTGATTCCACATACCATTCCATAATTCTTCGGAAATGGTACAGTTCAGTCTTGCTCCCATATAGATTTAAACACTGTACAGTATTTGTATTGAAGTTCTTCCATTCTCAGGACCTGTGCACGGAGGGGAATTCTTTAATCTCAGGACATGCATATATAAAATGTGCACTTCTTATCTTGAGACATGCTGTGATCTATCATAGGTGCTTTTTCTTCTTCCAAATTTGCTTGTGTATCCATAGTATACTGCTTAAGTATATAGCAGTCACTACCTTGCTTTTTGCTGATGCCATTTCACTACTAAATTGCTTGGAATTAGAACTGTGGTTTTGGAAGTACAAGGGGCAGGGGATGATAGATGGATGATAGAGCCTTTTTAACAGTGCTGCAAGTACTATGGTATCTTTTCTTTTGTTAAATTTCAGTTGGCTTATTCACTTGTAATTATTACCTGCATTATAGCTGTATTTTCAATCTGGTTTTGTGCTGCTTCTATATTGCTCATATTGTATTAATATAAGTCATCTTGAGTGTTTTTTTGCGGAGAAGTGGTATAAAATTTTATCTGCAATATAGTTTAGGACGAGAGAAGATTTAATGTAACCTGCCTCAGTTGTAAAATTTGTATATGTGTGTGCGTAAAAATCAAAACAGACGTGTGTGTGTGCGTGTGTGTGTGTTTTACTGCAAGATGTTTCCAGTGGTTACTGCAAATAATAGTATATGATATATGTTTTCCTTGTTTCTCTTAAAATCATAGGTTCATGTACTGGACAGATTGGGGAGAAGTGCCAAAGATAGAGCGTGCTGGGATGGATGGTTCAAGCCGCTCCATTATAATTACAGCAGATATTTATTGGCCAAACGGATTGACCCTTGACTATGAAGAACAGAAGCTGTATTGGGCAGATGCTAAACTGAATTTTATTCACCGATCAAATCTGGATGGATCACATCGGTAAGATTTGTGATTGACTTTTAAATTATTTTTCTAAGTAAATACAACAGTGCATTGTAAAAATATGGACTAATCAGAGCCAGTGTTTAGATTTCATTAAATTTCAGATGTTTAGAGGGAAAAAATGCATTTACTTGCAGAAGGAGATCAAACAGCTATTTGCTGAAAATCTCAAGAGGAAATACCTTAAAACATGTTTTATTCAGAAATTAGACTACTATACTATAATCTTTAGAAAACTCAGATCTTCAAAGTCTCCCCAACAACCTGGACTTGACAGTAATTCTATAGCAATGATGTTACTCTTTTAGAAAGAGTGTTTGGATTTCCTGCTTTGTTTTGAAAAACATTTGTGCATATATGCATGGGCATTCTGTAAGAAATATATTGAGTATACTGAGCAGTAACATTGTAAGTATGAAGCCAGCTATGGCCTGACTACACTAGTTTTCTCTGATAAGCTTGTGTATAAAGAGTTACTTTAGATTGGCTCATGAGCTTGTGCCTGTTCAATAAAACTTTTGACTGTTTTCCTTTGAATGATAAATCACCATACTATAGCACAGTGGTTCTTAACCTTTGTTACTCGGATGCTTTTGAACTGCAACTCCCAGAAACCCCAGCCAGCACAGTTGGTGGTGAAGGCTTCTGGGAGTTGCAGTCCAAAACTCCTGAGTAACCCAAGGTTAAGAACCAGTGCTATAGCACAAACAGCTTTTAGAATTCTCTTTAGGGTCAAAGAATGATTGTTGCGTAATACTGCAGTACTTTTAAGAGGACTGTTATTCACAAGAAACAAAAGATGAAGGTTACTAATCCATATGTTTTGGCCTGTCCTTGCAATTATCAGTTAAATCTTACATGTGCATGAAAACATACACCTCCCTCAATTAGAAAGTGATGTTGCTCTGTACTTTGGAGGCATTCTCAGATCAGCAAGATCTTGCTTCTCTTTTCTCTCTCAAGTGACTAGCCACCACATTACTTTTGTAGTTAAATATTGTAATCTTGTATGTATATATGTGAATAAGCCTTACTGAACTTGGTGGAATTTAATTCTAAGTAGTCATGCATCAGATGACACAGTAAAATATAACACCTCTTCATGGTGTCCTTGTATGCACACAAAAGGGGGGTGCGCCTATGTGAACACCGTTTTAGAAAGTTTCAGAGCCTCAAAAATGAAAATGCCTCTTGCTGATGCCACACAAGTGTGTCCCCACTTTCCTCAGCCCTTTCTTGTGTGCCACTGTGACAGCATGCAAAGCACTGCTCCTGTGCCCCTGTTCTCTTGCCTTCAGGTTTTTTTTCTTGATACATCCTCTGCCCTTTTTCTTCTTTCTTCACCTCAATGTTTCTTCTTCCTTTTTTTTCAGAAAAAAGAGAGTTAGTTTTAGAAAGGGTTTACTTTCAATCCCCCCCTCCTCCCCATGGCTTTGCTTCTCCCTTTTTCTAATGATTTATGGCCTCTGCCCTAATGAAAAAGTGTGCCACCTGTGGCAAAAAGATCTCCCAGTCTGACAGGCATCATACTTGTTTATTTTGTCTAGGAGAAACCCATCTAGTTTAGTCTTATAAAAATTTGTAAGAGCTTTATTACCCTTACACTCAATAATACCAGTCTTGGCTTCAATCCTTTCTTTGGGAACAGTCCCTTCAAGCCACGGATCTCCCTCCCAGGCCTATTTTGAGCACTTGGATGGATCAGTCAGCTTTGCCAGGGAAAGACCTGGATGCAGAGTTGGTCATTTCCTCTTCCTCAAAACCACCATAGAAATTGGTGAAGAAATTGGAGCATGGCAGTCATAAGCGTAGAGTGGCCTCCAATATTGAGGCGTCAGAGAAGAAAAAGAAATGGCGATCAGTTGATGCTGGCATGGCTACCTCGGATCCTCAGTTACGGATTCGAGAGACTGTTTCTGCTCTTATTACTGACACCCAGTATACAGTCTCAGTTTCAGAGGGTGAGTGGCTGAACCCTTCTGTGCAGAGTGTTGCTGCCTTGCTGAAAGCACCATCGCCCTGGATCCCATTGCAAGAGCAATCCTTACCTTCAATGTCCAAGGATGGGCACTGGGCAAAATCAAGATTCCTGTCCCTTACTTAATGATCTCCACAACCAAGAGACCATGACGGGGAGAAAAGGAGGTCCAGATTGAGCTCGGTTTCATAATCTCTATCACACTGATATTGACAGTGCTATTTGAGATTTCAGTCAATGAGCTCTTGGTATTGTGAGGATGCTTATCATACACCCTTCTTTTGTCCACCTCACTTTATGCATGGAGACATGGGCTGGCCTTCCCAGTCATATAGAAGGTATCACACAGCAAATCTCAATTTCACAAACACACACACTCTTGAGAAACTTATGCTATCAGCCCTCAAGGCCGATCTCCCTGGAACTACGAGTGGTGTCCTGATTCCCATCCTCTTTGGTACTTCAAAATCTGTCTTGCTCGCCACATCTCTCAACTTCTGTTTGTCTTCCATGGGACCAGCATTGACAACAGGGGTCTTCCCAAGCCTCCATCCATGCCCTGGCTATCAGACCCACCTCACCCAAGGTAGTTCTGTTTCCCCTTAATCCAGACTTTTTACTCACCTCACACTGAGGTGACAAGTGTAGCAACTGTCTACTTGCAACACAAACACTTGTCCCTGCAAGAGAAAGACAACTGGATAATAGTTCTGCTGAATCCGACAGGGAGGAAAGAATGACTCCATTATTGTCCTAGAATACTTACTCAGCTCAGGATGTTTCACCTCTCTTCCCCTCAGAGGGCCTCTCTTCTTATAATGACCTGATAGAGAGAATGGCAAAATCATTGCAATTGCTGATTTTCAAACCAGTTCCACCAGCCAAAGATGCAGTTTTTGCCCATATCTATAAGAACACATGTGAAGGCAGGAGGAGAAGGGGACGACAGAGGATGAGATGGTTGGACAGTGTCATCGAAGCGACCAACATGAATTTAACCCAACTCTGGAAGGCAGTGGAAGACAGGAGGGCCTGGCGTGCTCTGGTCCATGGGGTCACGAAGAGTTGGACACGACTAAACGACTAAACAACAACATAAGAAGACAAGCATCCCGATGGAATGGCAGTGCTTGACACCCTGTCAGATCTCATCAGCCAGTCCTGGCAAAAACCTTCCTTGAACCCACCGACATCTGGTAGGAGAGAATTTGTACAGGGTCTAGTAGGACAAAACTAAGGTCCTGTTTAAGCATCCCACACTGAACTCTACCATTATCCCTGAGGTCAAAGGACTCTGTGCATGAGACCCCAAATAATAAAGTCACAAGCTTGACTTGCTTCCTCATAAGATTTATTCCTCAGCAACAGTGTACCCTTTAATTTTCAGCCCTGCTGAAAGTGCCCCCCCATGTACTGGATTCCATCACAACTGGAACCTAACACAATTACTGCACAGAAGAGGAAGACAGTGGCACAGAGGGAAGTGGAATCATGCACCCAGCTTAGCAGGAACGTTGCTCAGCGGCACTCCACATGTGCATAGCGAGCTGTCAGGCCAAGATGTGCCTACTATCAATTCATCTGGGAAAAATTTCAGATCATAATTGCCAGCCAACCACCAGACGAAGTCTCTAGCCATCACCTTTCAGCAGGAGGTATATTCTCTGGCTGGACAGCAAATCCACTCTGCCCAACATGTGCCCAACACTGGGCAGCTAAGAGCATAGCAGCAAGCATCACTGTGGGCGGACATGCTTAGCTCTGCTCGGCAGGCCTCCCAGATGACTCTAAGTCTCACATAGAGGACCTCCTCTTTGGTGGAGAGGGCCTCTTCAATGACAAAATCAATGGCCTTATGCAGGACCTCCACAAAAAGGAGACTGACACAAAGAAAATGGGCATGCTGCCCAACAATTTCTCACTGGAAGAGATCCCTGTCATCCTCTTAACTAGAAGTCATGGTCTGAGCAGTCCAACTCATAAACACCTCACCCCAGCCTCCTCCTCTGCCAAATACAAGCAAACAACCTTTCCCGGGAAGGCAGTCAGGAAACCTCAGCAGCAGTTTTGACGTGCCCCAGCCTGAGCTCGACGCACACATCCCTCTGCCACCAGCATCCTACATCACGACAGCTACAGACATATGCTTAGCACTGTTCATCCATGCTTGCAATGCCATGACTTTGGATGCATTGTTTCTCTACATCATAACCCACAGATATGCAATAGAGTTTTCCATATCTGCCCACAGGCTGTATCCAACACACCCCACCTTCCCCCCAATCTTCAGGAGGAAATCCACATGCTCCTGGCAAAAGAAGCCATCACAAAGGTACCTCTCCAATACACCGCAGATTGTTCTTCTCCTAGTACTTTACGGTACCCAGAAGGGTGGAAGGCTATGCCCCATCTTGTATCTATGCTTCCTCAGCACATTTTTCACCCCAAAACATTTCCGGATAGTGATGTTACAGTCCATTGTCCCCCTGCTTCACTAGGGAGACTGATTCACTTCTATAGATCTCCGTGACACATATTTCCATATCTCAGTTCACCCATGGTATTGTTGCTTCCTAAGCTTCTTCATCAGCCACCAGGCCTACAGCTTCCATATGCTTTCCTTTGGGCTATCCATGGCCCCAAGAATTGTCACCAAATGCATGGCGCCAGTGGCAGCATTTCTCAAAACTCAAAGCATCACTAACATCTCCTGCATCAACAATTGGGTTCTGGTGATACATGTCAGAAATACTCTGCATACCAACATTGTATTCATTCTGCAACTGTTCTTGAGTTTTGAGCTAAAGATCAACATGGAGAAACCTCACCTCGTTCCATCTCAAACTATCCACTACATCAGAGTACTCCTCAATGCCACAAGTGTGCAGGCCCTCCTGCTTCAACCATAGGTGGACAGCATCATCCGCTCTACATGAAAACTGATTCACATTCAGTGCATCTTGGTCTACTCAATGCAATGAGTGTTAAGCCTCATGGTGTCTACCACAGCAGTCCTGCC